TACTGGGTATCTGTAGGTGTTCTGGAACCTTCCCCCATGAATCCAGAGGGAGGACTGAATAATGTCTCCTACCCTTGCTTTCAAGCCACCCAGACCTCCAAGAGCAAGCAATTTTATCAGTTTCTATTTTATGCTCATACAAGTAGCTCAATATATTTCACAGCATGCAATACATAATAACCTATTCCTTGATTGTTTTCACTTAGTGATATCCTTTTGTAATAATTTCTAGAGCCTTCTGTTCTTATTAGAGCCAAAGAATATCTCAAATTGTGACTGTACTGATCCTCTGTATCCACAGATTCTAAATATAAAGATTCAATCAACCACAGATCTAAAATATTCAGGAAGAAAATTGGGTCTCTAGTGACTTTCTTTTCTTGGCATTGTCCCTACAAACAATATAGTACCACAAGTATTCACATAGCATCTAGTCTGTATGCCAAACCAGAAGTCATCTCAAGATGACTTACAAGTACACAGGAGGATGCATATAGGTTCTGTGCAAGTACTAAGCCATTTTGTATGAAACTTGAGCAGCCAGGAGTCTTGATACTCAAAGAGGATCCTGAAACCAATCTTCCTGCACCCCCTCAGTCCCCAGCCCCAGATACCAAGGATGCTACAACAAATTATTTCACTAAAAGTTTTCTCTTGGTAGAATTTCAGGTGGTTTGCAATCTAGCTCCTAATTAATAATGCTGTACTGAATAAACTTAGAAGCTGGACCCAGACAACTTTTAAGGTGTTATCTCTTGTTTAAGTACTAATTAAATGAAGTAATCCTGTTTCCTAAGATAAAGGATAAAATTGTGGCTCACACCTATAATCCCAGCACTCAAGAGGGAGAGGCAAAAGGATTTGAGAGTTCTAAGCAAGCTTGGGCTACATAGAGACCATGTCAAAAAGCAAGCAATATAATACAATACAATGATGAAATGTTTTTGTTTTATTTTTGGCCAGTCCTAGGACCTGAACTCAGGGCCTGGACACTGTCCCTGAGCTTCTTTTGATCAAGGATAACACTCTACCACGTGAGCCACAATGCCACTTCCAGCTTTTTCTGTTTACATGGTACTGAGGAATTGAACCCAGGACTTCATTCATGCTAGGCAAGCACTCTACTAGGAAGCCACATTCCCAGCCCACATGATGAAATATTTTGGAGGACCAGAAAAGAGAAAACTTACTTTTGGTCAGGCACCAGTGGCTAATGCCTGTAATACTAGCTACTCAGGAGGCTGAGATCTGAGGATAGCAGTTCAAAGCCAGCCTGAGCAGGAAAGTCCATGAGATTCTTATCTCCAATAAACCACCAAAAAAAAAAAACAGAAGTGGCGCTGTGGCTCAAGTGGTAGAGTGCTAGCCTTGAGCTGAAGAACTAAGAGACATCACCCAGACCAAGAGTTCAAGGCCTATGGACCAGCCAAAAAAAAAAAAAGACTCCAATATTAAAATGACATTATATACACATTTGATTATTAATGTAAGTATCAAGCTTTCCAAAATAATTTAAACATACTGCAAAATCTGGCCTAGTTTTTAGTAACATAGATTATGAAACACTATAATGAAGGTACAAATCCACATCAAAATCTCTTGTCTCAAAAGGTTAGATTTGCCAGATATCAGTGGCTCACACCTGTAATCCTAGCTGCTCAGGAGACTGAAATCTGAGGATTGTGGTTTGAAGCCAGCCCAATCAGAAAAGGATATGAGACTCTTATCTCCGAGAAGCTACTCAGAAAAAGCCAGAAGTGAAGCTGTGGCTCAAGTGGTAGAGTGCTAGCCTTGAGCAAAAGATGTTCAGGGACAGTGACCAAGCCCTGAGTTCAAGCCCTCAGGATTGGAAAAAAACAAACAAACAAAAAAAAAAAATATATATATATATATATAATTTAAAGATGTTTTGTTGTATTCAGTGGCACTATTCCTGGTAAATTAGAATAATAAATTTGAATAATAATATTCCTGCCCAGTGTCATTAAACTCTATTTGCCATTTCCTGGCAGGTTTGCCAGGTCTGTTTTTTTGGTTGGTGGGAACAGGAATACAATACAGTGAATGTAATACAGGCAGCACAGCCACTGTAGCCTTCCACAGTGTATATGATACTTTGAATTATTAGTCAGGACCTTAAATATATCGCTTAGTGTTAAGTTACATTGAATTCCCTATACCAACACTCTGAGCCTTGTACCATACTAGGTTTGAAAAATATTTTATAACAACAGAATTTCATCTATATTCTTTTGGAAAACCATGCCTGTAACAACGATGATCAATCATTGAAGCCAACCCAAAGAGGTGAAAGGTCAATTGAGGTCTGGATGAGAATCTCAAAGAGGAACTGGGAAAACAGCACCATCTATCATTAGTTTCTAGCACTTTCTCTTCAGGTTCAATGTTTCAGAGAACTCTGTTTAGAAATATTGGGAGAGACTTGGACTTTGGCTATTAATCAGACCTGGATTCAAAGGGCAAATCTGGCCAAATTATAAGATATGAAAATATTTTGTGCCAGGAGCTGGCTCACACCTGTAATCCTAGCTACTTAGCTCTGAGGACCATTGTTTGAAGCCAGCTTGGGCAGAAAAGTCCATGAGACTCTTATCTCCAATAAACTACTCAGAAAAAGCTGAAGTGGTGCTGTGGCTCAAGTGGTAGAGTGCTAGCCTTGAGCACAAAGAGGCTGAAGGACATCGCCCAGGCCCTGAGTTCAAGCTCCACAACTGACTCTCTCTCTCTCTCTCTCTCTCTCTCT